GTCAGGGAAAGGAAAGAGAAAAGAGGTAAAGAGACACAGAGAGAACAGAAGAGAAGAGGGAAACAGGAAAGGTCCTGTCTGCCCCGGGGGAACAGCAGGAAAGAGCGGGAAAGAATGTAAGCTGGCGTGGATCTTTCTTTTAAAGGGGTCCTTAGCACCTGCGTGCAGACTACTTAGCCGTGGAGCCCAGGGCTGACCAGGGTACTGCCTGAGTGCTTTCTGCCAGGTGACAGGGGCAGGCCAGCATAATGCCTGAATCCTTACAAGAAACCCTGGGGTCCAAGGTAAAGGGATTTCTCCTTCACTGGACTGCATTCTCTTTAGAAGCCCTAGCCCAGTTCATGGCATGTTCCTGAAGAGGGGGTAACAGCTGCATGGATAGTTAGACCCCATAACACAGACCAGCTGTGTCTTGTGTAGCTCTCACCTGCTGCCCCTCACCCCAAGACCACCTCGAATGTTTGGCACAGACCCTGTAGTTGTTGGCACCTGTGGTTGTCGGCCGGCCACAGAATCCATAGAATCAGGCTAAGACGGGGAGAGAGCTGGGGATGGGGTGAGGGTAGGACATCAGTCCTGGGTAGGAGGATGGGGAACTGGAATCAGTTCCTTTGCTGGCCCAATGGAATCACTCAACACTACAGGTATTTGCAGGTCCTGAGGAGTCAGCATGAGGTCGGTGCTGAGCAGACATCAACACAATAGGGGTAAGGGAAGGCCTGGAAGACAAGCAACAAGGACATAAATAGGAAGACAACGCAGCTCCAAGGCGCTGCTCAGAAACGGGTGGGGGTGGGGGTGGAGAGAGCGCACCCTCAGAGTCCCTGCGGGCCCCAAGGTCAGCTTGGCAGAGTGACAAGGCGCAGTTGGTAGCACTTACTCCATCTTTAGGAAAGCTAGGGAAGGAACAAGAAAGGATGCCTCAGAGAGCACAGCTACTAAGTTCTGAACAGAGTAACAAAACCCTAACTAGAAACCAGTCCCAACATGGGTGGGAAAGTGTGATATGCTTTGTGGCAGGTTGTCTCCGATGATGGGATTAACACATGTCATGTGCCTGCCCATGTTCTTTCCCTCACCTTCTAAATGACGATGTAGAGAATCTCTATGGGGATGGAGGCGGGGAGGGGGGAGTCTTCAGGACTGGCTGGTGGTCACCTGGGTGTGCGTGCATGTGTATGGTGAGGGGACAGGTCATTTTTAGCTAGGTAAATGAAGACAGCTTGACAGATACAAGGTGGGTAGATGCCCTCTTTCCAGCCAAACCCACTAATAGCCTGCCAGCCCCTCATCTCACACAACAGAAGGACTCCATCCTCCTTAAGATGTAAATCCTTCTTCTTTCTCCCCCCTGCACTCTCTATTTTCATAAGCTGATTCCAGGCTCCAAGGAGGGGGGGGGGTAAAGAAGGGAGAAGAAAGGACCCTAGGCTGGCTATATTCTTCATCATACAGGA